CATTCATTCATTCTTTTCATGGATAAAGCCTCCAAAAAAATATTTTCAAGTTTTTTAAGTGTACGCTAGTATTGCCGAGTGACAAGATTTCCGGTGTTGTATCCGAATGAGTTACGGGGCGTCATATCCGTGCTGCAGGAGGGACAAGTCACATGTTTAGACAAAGACATAACATTGCTGGTTCATCGAATTCTCTTGTAATAACCCAGTCCCGAGGGCCAACCCGACGTGGAAGACAACCTTCAGGCATACATGTTATAGCACATACAGTTTTCATCATGGAAACAAGAAATAATGTCTAAAATCTTATTATTCCACTTGTAGTGTTGAGGACACCATAGGTTTAAGAACTATGGTCCTTGACGAAGGTCTTAAATGACGGTGGCGTACACTCACACAATCACTCACTCACACACACGCACAGCAGCCTACTTTCTCTGCGCCAGTTCAAATTCAATGCCCTGCGGAATAAAAGAAAGCTTTTTGTTCATTCTATACTTGAAGACTCTCGATGGATTACAGTGATAATTAATAATGCATGAATTGCCCAAAATTTTGGTCTGTTAATAGAGTCAAATCACTAGCATTAAAGGCATGCGTTATTCTTATCAGTGGAAACCTACTGTTAAGCTAGATAGAAAAGAACCATAACAGTTAATCTATGCCCGCATAGATCAGAACCCAATAAATCATAAATCAGCATATACTTGTATGTACGCTTTTGGCTCTTCCATTCATGAAAACTGTATGTTAAATTTCTGTTTTAAATCTTGAACAACCCCAGTTTAATTCATACTTCCAATTGCCAGTGTGCTTATTATTGTCAGTGTAAAATATGCACATTTTCGATATTGTCGCAGTTCAGTTGCAAATGGCTGATCTTCAGGCGCTGATCTTTCAATGGCTAATCGTAGACTTCAGAACGTCGTGTTTCACCTTTGTTCGTGCTGTGTGCCGCCAACAAGGCACCTTCAAAGGAAACAGCAAAAGAGCAACCGAAGTTGATTGATTGATATCGTTGAACAACGACAATCCGGTGTCGTACAGTACGATCATTCATCAGTGTAGGAAAGTGCTCGAAAGGTAGAAAAAGCGTTCCGCAGGGATTCGATCGACTTCGCTGGCAGAACGTGATTTACAGGTTCCATATTTCACGTTTATTTTCGTGCAACAAACAATTATTCGTCAGGTCGTTAATGCCGCTTATTTGAGCATTTGTGTCTTGTGATTCGTTTAATACTTCCGGTTCAGTTGATGACTTTTGCTCTGAGATTATCTTGACCAATCAAAGGAAGGCTAATAAATGGATTATGGGTTCTGGCCAGATCGAAACCGGAACATTGTGGCTTTGGATTCTTCGCAGATCACCGGCCTTTAATATTTCTGAGGTAGATTTTCGAGTTACCACAGGAACACGGAAGTCGCACATAAGCACCACGAAGAAATGGATGCTACAAATACAGCCCATTACAGAAGCGTGTGGGGAGAACCGTCACTGTGATGGTTGTAAACTTTGTATGCTGTAACCGTGATCCAAACGGCGTTATGACTCCCTGGTCCTGACAATGAAAAGTATATGAATCGCTAAAGAGCTTAATACACCATTGGTTTGAATGTTACAGGATGCTGAAATTCTGGAGAATGGCAATACGCTCTCTGACACGCTCCGTCAATGAATTGAATGGGCCTCTGGGCATTTGACAAATTGGTTTAGGAAAAGTCAGCTTACACTCATCCTTCACCTACTCAGTTAAGATGCATGAGCGCCATCTGAACGCGCTATTTATGCGGTATTTTGAAGAAGTTTCGCATCCTTGTGTGACTGACCAAGATGAGGATGGAGGTACTAATGAAAATGCGTGACCTCTGACATTGGCAAGCCAAACGGCAAAGCACTGGTTGCAAGATCCAGTCGTGAAACCGCCACAATGACTGCTTTGCTAGACAGTGGGGGCAGCTCTGTGTATGTAAGGCTTGACTCACGACGCAAAAAACAACCACCGAGACACGTAGCAAGGGGTGGCAAGCTGAGATGCGTTCGGAAAGAAATCTTTCT